TGTGGTTAGTAAAGACAGCAGTTTAGTATGTGTTCAGTATCTCTAACCTAGTATCCTTATAAAATCACTAAATTGTTGCAGCATGTCAATGTGAAACTAGAACTAGGTCAACCTTGATAAGTGTTATAGTAGTAGTATTTATATACGTTTATTGTATTTATTAATAGTTTGAATTAGCTTTTATTTTTATATATTCCATTTTAATTTTAATTTATGCTTCAGTAATTTTGTGCTTTTTTCAATGTTTCTATTCAGTATTGTTTTAGTATAATTGAGATCCTATAATAGGTTTATTAATATTTAGAGTTTTCGTTTTCAATTTTGTTTTCTTTTTAAATGCAATTCATGTTTTAGTAATTTTGTTGTTTTTTTATTTTTATAGTTTTTTTTGTTGTCTAAATAGTTCTCCTTTTTCAGTTTTAGTTTTTTAGTACATCAAGGTAAACTAAATGAAAATGAGAAATGTTGCCTTGGCAACTAGCTAAAATTAAAAAAAGTAAGTTTTTTAGATTTTATTTTGTTTCAGTTAACATTTATTTAGATTTTATTTCATTTTTATTTTACATATTATTTTACATTTTATTTTTTTAAATTTAATTTAACTTTATTTTTAGTTAACCCTGTTTCTGTTTAGCTTTATTTTTGTAAAGTTTTGGTTTCAGTAATCTTACATATTACATATAGTTACATATACACACATTACATATAGTAATCAAACATTTATTTCAGTTTTTTTGTTTTTCTTTCATCTAATATTTTGTTTTATTTCAGCTTTATTTCAATTAACACATTTTTTAATAGTTTTACTTAACAATAACAATATTAATCATGATATTTATATACAAGTGTGTCTAATACAAACACCCACACACACACACATGCATCAGGCATTTAGAGGTGTGTCAATGTGAATTGGAAATGTACTAATTTACAAGGTTGCCATGGAGACCTCTAAGAGATGCACACGTGTGTGTGTGTGTGTGTGTGTGTGTGTATAGACATGAACACTTGAAACATGAAAGCAAAACTGTATGGTATACAAGTATGTGCATCTGGTGGATGATTGTGCAAAGGGTCGGGTTCACAGTCCTGTTATCGCCATAGAAACAGGGAAGTTTCAGAGTGATGAGACTGAGTACAGAAATGTACAGTGTCTCTCTCTCACTCACTCACTCACTCACTCACTCACACACACACAGCCCAGTCTTGCATCACACTGCATTATTTAAGCAGAACTCTCCATCTCTGCATAATACATCTATACTGCCGGGACCGAGGCGAGGAAACACACACACGCATTTTTGTAAATATACACACACTTCATTGTAATGAACTTTCTGTTCACACCTGAACTTCTTTTTCCTTCATCAGAGCATGTGAACAAGCAGTGACAGTGACAGAAGACAGTGTGTGAATTCGATATCTCTGTCCTGTTACGTAATGAGCCGCAGGCCGTGATGAGCGCAAGCTTTGCAGCGTCCTGTGAAAGAAGTTTAAGTTCAAGTACTAAAATGACTAAAACTATAACTGAAATAAAAATAAATTAAAGCTGGTAATGTTTGTGTGTGTGTATATATATATATACAGGTGCATCGCATGAAAAAGTTCATTTTGTTTGGTAACTTATTTCAAAAAGTGAAACTTTCATATATTCTATATTCATTACATGTAAAGTAAAACATTTAAAACATTTTTGTTTTAATTTTGATGATTAGAGCTTACAGCTCATGAAAGTCAAAAATCCAGTATCTCAAAATATTAGAATATTTACATTTGAGTTTCATTAAATGACCATCCTTACAGTATAAATTCCAGGTATCTCTTGTTTTTTAAATCCACAATAACGGGGAAGACGGCTGACTGGGCAATGATCCAGAAGACAATCATTGACACCCTCCACAAAGAGGGTAAGTCACAGTAGGTCATTACTGAAAGGGGTGGCTGTTCACAGAGTGCTGTATCAAAGCATATTAAATGCAAAGTTGACTGAAAGGAAGAAATTGGGTAGGAAAAGGTGCACAAGCAACATGGATGATCGCAAGTTTGAGAATACGGTCAAACAAAGCCGATTCAACACTTGCGAGAGCTTCACGAGGAGTGGACTGAAACTGGAGTCAGCCCCGACCAAGTATTGAGTGCATAAATGAACATACTTTAAAGAACCTGAACTTTTCTGTTTTGCAAATCCTTTTTTTTATTGATCTTAGGAAATATTCTAATATTTTGAGATACTGGATTTTTGACTTTCATGAGCTGTAAGCTCTAATCATCAAAATTAAAACAAAAAAACTTTTTAAATGTTTTACTTTACATGTAATGAATATAGAATATATGCAAGTTTCACGTTTTGAAATAAGTTACCAAAAAAACTTTTTCACGATATTCAGATTTTTTTGAGATGCACCTGTATATACATATATATATATATATATATATAAAACTAATAAAAATGTTTTGTCATTTGCATTAGTTTTTTTATTATTAGCTTCAATGTATTTCTTTATTTACATAATATAAATTTGCTAAACTTAAAAGTAAAGCTAAATAGAAATATTTAGAAAAAAATAATAAAAAGAACAAAAGAACAACAAATTTACTAAAAACTAATTTTTTATTTGTCTGCATATTTTATTGATTTTATTTTATTTATTTATAGTAAAAAAATAAATCATTTTTAGGTTTTAGTTATTTTAGTACATCAAGTTAAACTGAATGAAAATGAGAAATGTTGAAATATACTTTGCTTTTGCTTTTATATATTTGATTACAGTTTGTTTCAGTTAATGTTTATTTTATTTTAATAATGTTTATATTATTTGTATTTATTTGTTTTCTTTTTTAATTTTAGTACTTCAACTTCAGACTTATTTTATTTCAGTTAGTTGCCTAGGAAACATTTCTAATTTTAATTTTTTAACTTGATGTATTAAAAACTAAAGCTGAAATAAAAATGTATAAAAACTGTATAAACAACAAAAACAACCTAATAAATATGACAAAAATACAACAAAATTGCTAAAACTTTATTTTTAAATTAAATTTAAAATGTGGAAAATTAACAAATTTGAACTTCTTAATATTTATATTTAGTTTTAATATATTTTTACATAAAGTCATGACAAAAGAGCATAACAAAATTACTAAGACTTAAACTGAATTTAACATGAAAACTGAAAATATAAATATAAAAGCTAATAAAAAATATTAGTGATAATATAAGTAATATATCACAGAGGGATGCGTTGCTGGGTGGTGGCTAGGGTGATTTTTTCTGGTTCAAGTAAAAAAAAAAAAGAGTCCTGAATAGTGTGTGTATATGTATATATATATATATATATATACTCTTAAAAATAAAGGTGCTTCAAATGGCTCTTCACAGCGATGCCATAGAACAGGGATCCTCAAATCTGGCCCATGAGATCCACTTTCCGGCAGAGTTTAGCTCTAACCCTAATCAAACACACCTGAGCATGCTAATCAGTGTCTTCAAGATCATTAGAAAATCACAGGTAGGTGAGTTTGATCAGGGTTGGAGCTAATGCTGTGTTCAAGTCCTCCTGGGACGTTCGTACTTAGGAGTTGACAAGTCGTAATTACGACGTCAGGTGCGTTCAAGTCAGTTTAGTCGGCACAAGATGGCGGTGTACCTTCTTTTAATAAATTACAAGAAAATACAACAGGGTCTGTTAACTCTGCTTATAGAAAATGAAGAGCAAAGAATTCGCATCAGGTGTGTTTTGCGTTTTTAATGTTTTTAAAAAGTAATTTATGAAGCCACTTTAATCTGTATCGCATAAAAACTTGTTATTTGTTATATTACAATCCTGCCACATTCAAAAAGCTTATTTTTTGTAAATAAAAAGCCTGACAATGTCACTGCTTAATACCTATAAGTATTGTGATTTATGTCTTTACTTGGATTTCATTAACTAGCTACGTAACAAGAACATGACCAATTTAAGTTTATAGGACAACTAAACTATCAATTTAAACAAAAATTTACCGTCAACTACAGACGTTGCATACATCGATTCCGCCATGTTTCTCATTGACACGCCCCCAACTCGGAAACTCGGGGCTTAAACAAAGAGTGTTTCCCACTCGTAATAACGACTTTGTGGTGGCGATCATGTGCGTTCAACTCGTAAATACAATCTATCCGACATGACTTGAACGCACCATATGTTCTGCAGCGCATTGGCCCTCCAGGGCAAGGTTTGAGGAACGCTGCCATAGAAGAACCATTTTTGGTTCCATATAGAACCATCCAGTCAAAGAACCATCTCTTTCTTAACTTTTTATAATCTGAAGAACCTTCTTTCGCCACAACGAACCTTTTGTGAAACAGAAAGGTTCTTCAGATGTTAAAGGTTCTTTATGGAACCATTTAGACAAAAGGGTTCTTCTATGGCATCGTGAAGCACCTTTATTTTTAAGAGTGTATATCAGCTGTTTTCTGGTCCAGCAGATGAAAATGGTGCATCTGATCACTTAAAGTACCATGATTTGAGGAATCCTTTATGTCTGGAGCACAAACTCTGCTAGACGAGTTACATGCTGAAATAAAACGCATTCTCCTAACAAACGTGGATTCATTGCATATTCTAGGTATATTCTCATAAAACATGCAGAGAACATTGAATACTTGCTCAAGAATTCCACCATAGCAACCAAATGCTAATAAAAGAACAGCCTCTCTCACTAAATCTCTCTCTCTCCTCGAGTGATGTGATGTGATGAGATTGTGTGTGTGTGTGTGTGTGTGTGTGTGTATTTGAAATGTATGACGCTAAAATCCGATATGCTTTGTTGTTTTTCTTGACAAGCATGTAAACATATTTATGCGAGTGCGCCTTCATGGCAACACGAACACGTCTGGCGTATTATTGCATTAATATTAATTCCCAACCAATAAATTGAATTTGTAATATGTTATGCATATTTGCTTTTCCATTTCAGTGCTTTACTTTCGTCTGTGTGTGTGTGTGTGTGTGTTTCAGGTGATGGAGCTCAAAGGTCAGATGCTTCACCTCCCAGAATCCCACTCCATCATTTTCCTGGGCTCGCCGCGTGTCGATAGGCTGGAGGAGCTCATGGGGCGGGGCTTACATCTGTCTGACATCCCTATTCATGACGCCACACGTGATGTCATTCTGGTGGGTGTGTCAGTCAAACATCATTAGATTTTCAAAGACTTTACTGTAAACAGAATAGAGTTTGGCTAATGAACTGTTACTTGATGGAACAATTGTAATTATTTATTGTTTTGACTTCATATCATACTTACACCCCTTATTATGAAAAGGATATTTCTGGTTCTGGATGTCAGTGTTGTTACTGTAAACTACATTTACATTACATTTTGAAATTGCTAGTAGATTTCACAATTCATTACAAACGGCAAGCAACACATCGTTTTAAAAGTGAAATTTTGAAATAGAAACACTTAAATTGTATTTTCTTGTAAAACATATTTTCTCATTGAACATACCCCAATAATTAGAAATTATGCAATTTTATTTCTAACTTTACAAAACATTGTTTTACAGTGTAAATATAAAATTATTTAAAAAAATTAAATAATTGACATAAAGCTGAAATAAAAATATTAGATTAAAAACTTGACATGAAAAAATTGCTTTGGCAATTAGCTGAAATTAGTAAAGTACTAAAATTACGAAAACTAAAACTGAGGTAAAAAAAAAATAATTTAATGCGAAATAGAAATAGTAAAAAACGAATGTTTTGTAATTTTTATTAGTTTTTGTTTTTTTATTAATATTTTATTTACATTTATTTTATTTACATAAAATAACAAAAAATAAAACTGAAATAAATATAAAGCTAAAAATAAATATTAAAAAGGTTTTTTATATTTATCTTCATTTTTATTTCAGTTTTAGTTTTTGTAAATAATAGAATAATAAATATACTTTATATACAGTACATAACAGAATTACTAAAACTTTAACTAAAATAAAAATAAATTCAAGATGAATAGAAATATACAAAACGGTTTCATCATTTTAATTAGGTTTGGTTTTATAATTATGATCATTTTGTCTTTATAATATTGTATTTATATAATATATTATATAATATAATATTATATAATATATTATTTATATTTAGCTTTATTTTTATTTACATACAATTTCTAAAACTTATACTGAAATAAAAATCAATTAAAGCTAAATATAAATATTTACAAAAAACATAAAATTACTAAAATTAAAATTTTAATGAAAACTGAAAATACGAAAATAAATTAAATTAAAAATATTAAGTACTCTAACAGTTTATAAATAATACAAAAATAACACTACTGGACATTACCTGCCATAATTCTTGCCTGATAATTTCTGTAGGTTGGAGAACAGGCCAAAGCTCAGGATGGGCTGAAGAAACGCATGGATAAACTCAAAGCCACCCTGGAGAAAACCCACCAGGCTTTAGAGGAGGAGAAGCACAGAACCGTCGACCTGCTCTACTCCATCTTTCCCGGCGATGTGGCTCAGAGACTCTGGCAGGGCCTTCCGGTTCAGGCCAAGAAGTTTGATGACGTCACCATGCTGTTCTCTGACATCGTGGGCTTCACGGCCGTGTGTGCGCAGTGCACGCCAATGCAGGTCATCAGCATGCTGAACGAGCTCTACACGCGCTTCGACTACCAGTGCGGCATCCTGGACGTCTATAAGGTAAAGCTATCTGTCACACTCCATACATCGCTTTTAACCAGGACACCCTAGCAACCGCATAGCAACCAACTTCCTAGAAGCCACCTTAAACATCTAAGCAACAACATAGAAATCACCTACTAGCACCTTACCAAGTGCATAGAAACCACCTAGTAACGTCTTAGCAAATGCATAGCAACTGCATAGCAACCCTGAAAATCCTAGTAATCACATAGAAGCCAACTTTCTAGAAACCACCCTGAACACTTTAGAAACCACCTAGAAACCTCCTAGAACACCCTATCATAGAAACCACCTAGTAACACCTTAGCAACTGCATAGCAACACTTTAAAAACTGAATAGTAACCTCCTAGAAACAACCCTAAACACCCTAACAATTCCATAGAAGCCACCAAGTAACACCTTAGCAATTGCAAAGCAACCTCCTAGAAACCACACTGAACACCCTAGCAATCACATAGAAACCACCTAGTAACACCTTAGCAACTGCATAGCAACTGAATAGTAACTCTGAATATCCTAGCAATCACAGAAACCACCTAGAAACCTCATAGAAAAACCTATCATAGAAACCACCTAGTAACACCTTAGCAACTGCATAGTAACACCCTAACAACTGAATAGCAACCTAGAAACCACATTGAACACCCTAACAATTAAACATAAAACAACTTCCTAGAAACCACTCTGAACACCATAGCGACTGCAGAGAAACCACCTAGCAACTGCATAGCAACCTCCTAGAAACCACATTGAACACCCTAACAATCGCATAAATCCAACTTCCTAGAAACCACTATGAACAACATAGCAACTTCAGAGAAACCACCTAGCAACTGCATAGCAACCTCCTAGAAACCACATTGAACACCCTAACAATCGCATAAATCCAACTTCCTAGAAACCACTATGAACAACATAGCAACTTCAGAGAAACCACCTAGCAACTGCATAGCAACCTCCTAGAAACCACATTGAACACCCTAACAATCGCATAAATCCAACTTCCTAGAAACCACTATGAACAACATAGCAACTTCAGAGAAACCACCTAGCAACTGCATAGCAACCTCCTAGAAACCACATTGAACACCCTAACAATCGCATAAATCCAACTTCCTAGAAACCACTATGAACAACATAGCAACTTCAGAGAAACCACCTAGCAAGACTTTAGCTACTGCATAGCAACATTTTTTGTCCGATTCCAACAAATCATACATCATTTTAAAGGTCTTTTAATGGAGATTGTGATAACAAAAAATAACTCATTTTTGCTCATTGTGACTCATTTTGCCAGCACAGGTCACATATTTTAAATGAAGTCTATTTTAGGATTTTTTCTTAAACTGCTTTGATTTTGTGTGGGTGAAATATGACCGTGAAATGTTCTTGACTGGTTTAAATATACTGCACTATATTAAAGTACTGTTCTGAGTGGCCATCAGCATTTAAAAGCTTTTAACTTTATAAGCTGATCTTTAAGCACACGCACACACACACTCTCTCTCTCTCTCTCTCTCTCTCTCACTCACTCATTCACTCACACACACACACACACACACACAGTGAGGACCGATGTGTTCAATGAAAAGGCATTTAGTGAGTGTATGTCAATAAATTGGCATTATAAACTCCATTACCACAAATAAAAGTTTGTGGTAAAACACACACACACACACTACACACACGGTTTGTGTGTTTCTGAAGGCTGTATGTAAATGCGGTCTGCTGTGCTGGCATCAGTGCGTCTCCAGAGAGAGACAGATTCATATTTATGTGTCCCTCACCTGCTTTGTGTTAAGTGTTATTCATCAGAGAGTGTTTATATTCTGACAGCAGCCGCCTGTGAGCGTCAAGAGCCTGAATCGGAGCTTGTGTGTGTGTGTGTGTGTGTGTGTGTGTGACGGGGTGAATCTCACAAAGACTCATCTGGGTCACATTTCACCCTAAATCAAAGAAAGAAATATATAGTTTACATGAAACAAGATGATGTAATGGTATCATCAGATATTAAATAATAAGGCATTCTGGATTGTTGCTTACAGAAATACAGTAAACGCTCTCTTCTCCACAGATTGAGACTATCGGCGATGCGTACTGCGTGGCAGGCGGGCTCCACAGGAAGATTGACAGCCACGCTAAGCCAATCGCGCTCATGGCGCTGAAGATGATGGAGCTGTCGGAGGAAGTGCTGACGCCTGACGGGAAGCCAATCAAAGTGAGTTAGAGGTTTTGTTTGGAACTACTGTACTATTTTTTGCAGTATAGTGTGCAATTTTCTATTAAAATGCCTACTGCTACTTATTTGCGATATAATATTTGCAAAAATGTGCAGTGTAATGCCAGCTCACACTGGGTGGGATACTGTATCCCATAATGCAAATGCAAATGACTTGATCTTTCTTTTTGACTTTTTTCTTGACTGATTATATGATGAAACAGCCAAAATTTAGGCATTATATTGTATTAAAATAGTATTAAAATTGCAAATGTAAATATATAAAAAATATATATAAAAAGAATATATTAAGAAAATTGTAAAAATAAAATAAATTAATAAATTCATATTAAATAAATAATTATATTTAAAAAATCGAAAATAAATACATATTATATAAATATATGAAATTATATGTAAAATTTCTGATGACTGCACACCGCTTGCTAAATTAAACATAACGATGGGCGGTCATGTGATCAAAATGTAACAGAGCTGGTGTGGATTCAGGGATTTGAATCCCATTCAAACACAACCTGCAAGATGCGTTTGTCTGTAGCTTTTGTTCATCATGCGTTGATGGCGGAGCGGCGGTTTAATGTTGCTCGCAGCGAGACACTCGTGTGTGGGGTTGTGTTAAGGATCTTGTGTTTAACAGCTCCATCGACAGCACTGGACTCACCGTAGAGACGGAGTGAGAGCGTGGAACCTGGTTGCCATGGAGACGGCGGAACACTCCAAGTGCTTGCCGTTAATTGATTGTTAGATTGTTGCTGTTTTCTTCCATTTAGAGGGAGTCAACGAGCCAATCGCTGCGTCTGAGAGGCTCAGGCATGTGTATGTGTGTGTGTGTGTGTGTGTGTGTGTGTGTGTGTGTGTTCAGAAGTGTCTCTGAGCATGTTGTCAAGTCTGTATTGAAATGCCTGCAGCAATGATTGTTTGTTTAGTAAAACTGATGATTGTGGAATATGACTGCAAGTGAAATGTAAATTAAGTGTGTGTGTGTGTGTGTGTGTGTGTGTGTGTGTGTGTGTGTGTGTATAAAGAAAAACACACCTAGCAACTGCATAGCAACCTCCTAGAAACCACATTGAACACCCTAACAATCGCATAAATCCAACTTCCTAGAAACCACTATGAACAACATAGCAACTTCAGAGAAACCACCTAGCAACTGCATAGCAACCTCCTAGAAACCACATTGAACACCCTAACAATCGCATAAATCCAACTTCCTAGAAACCACTATGAACAACATAGCAACTTCAGAGAAACCACCTAGCAACTGCATAGCAACCTCCTAGAAACCACATTGAACACCCTAACAATCGCATAAATCCAACTTCCTAGAAACCACTATGAACAACATAGCAACTTCAGAGAAACCACCTAGCAACTGCATAGCAACCTCCTAGAAACCACATTGAACACCCTAACAATCGCATAAATCCAACTTCCTAGAAACCACTATGAACAACATAGCAACTTCAGAGAAACCACCTAGCAAGACTTTAGCTACTGCATAGCAACATTTTTTGTCCGATTCCAACAAATCATACATCATTTTAAAGGTCTTTTAATGGAGATTGTGATAACAAAAAATAACTCATTTTTGCTCATTGTGACTCATTTTGCCAGCACAGGTCACATATTTTAAATGAAGTCTATTTTAGGATTTTTTCTTAAACTGCTTTGATTTTGTGTGGGTGAAATATGACCGTGAAATGTTCTTGACTGGTTTAAATATACTGCACTATATTAAAGTACTGTTCTGAGTGGCCATCAGCATTTAAAAGCTTTTAACTTTATAAGCTGATCTTTAAGCACACGCACACACACACTCTCTCTCTCTCTCTCTCTCTCTCTCTCACTCACTCATTCACTCACACACACACACACACACACACAGTGAGGACCGATGTGTTCAATGAAAAGGCATTTAGTGAGTGTATGTCAATAAATTGGCATTATAAACTCCATTACCACAAATAAAAGTTTGTGGTAAAACACACACACACACACTACACACACGGTTTGTGTGTTTCTGAAGGCTGTATGTAAATGCGGTCTGCTGTGCTGGCATCAGTGCGTCTCCAGAGAGAGACAGATTCATATTTATGTGTCCCTCACCTGCTTTGTGTTAAGTGTTATTCATCAGAGAGTGTTTATATTCTGACAGCAGCCGCCTGTGAGCGTCAAGAGCCTGAATCGGAGCTTGTGTGTGTGTGTGTGTGTGTGTGTGTGTGACGGGGTGAATCTCACAAAGACTCATCTGGGTCACATTTCACCCTAAATCAAAGAAAGAAATATATAGTTTACATGAAACAAGATGATGTAATGGTATCATCAGATATTAAATAATAAGGCATTCTGGATTGTTGCTTACAGAAATACAGTAAACGCTCTCTTCTCCACAGATTGAGACTATCGGCGATGCGTACTGCGTGGCAGGCGGGCTCCACAGGAAGATTGACAGCCACGCTAAGCCAATCGCGCTCATGGCGCTGAAGATGATGGAGCTGTCGGAGGAAGTGCTGACGCCTGACGGGAAGCCAATCAAAGTGAGTTAGAGGTTTTGTTTGGAACTACTGTACTATTTTTTGCAGTATAGTGTGCAATTTTCTATTAAAATGCCTACTGCTACTTATTTGCGATATAATATTTGCAAAAATGTGCAGTGTAATGCCAGCTCACACTGGGTGGGATACTGTATCCCATAATGCAAATGCAAATGACTTGATCTTTCTTTTTGACTTTTTTCTTGACTGATTATATGATGAAACAGCCAAAATTTAGGCATTATATTGTATTAAAATAGTATTAAAATTGCAAATGTAAATATATAAAAAATATATATAAAAAGAATATATTAAGAAAATTGTAAAAATAAAATAAATTAATAAATTCATATTAAATAAATAATTATATTTAAAAAATCGAAAATAAATACATATTATATAAATATATGAAATTATATGTAAAATTTCTGATGACTGCACACCGCTTGCTAAATTAAACATAACGATGGGCGGTCATGTGATCAAAATGTAACAGAGCTGGTGTGGATTCAGGGATTTGAATCCCATTCAAACACAACCTGCAAGATGCGTTTGTCTGTAGCTTTTGTTCATCATGCGTTGATGGCGGAGCGGCGGTTTAATGTTGCTCGCAGCGAGACACTCGTGTGTGGGGTTGTGTTAAGGATCTTGTGTTTAACAGCTCCATCGACAGCACTGGACTCACCGTAGAGACGGAGTGAGAGCGTGGAACCTGGTTGCCATGGAGACGGCGGAACACTCCAAGTGCTTGCCGTTAATTGATTGTTAGATTGTTGCTGTTTTCTTCCATTTAGAGGGAGTCAACGAGCCAATCGCTGCGTCTGAGAGGCTCAGGCATGTGTATGTGTGTGTGTGTGTGTGTGTGTGTGTGTGTGTGTGTGTTGAGAATATTCATCAGAGAGTGTTTATATTCTGACAGCAGCCGCCTGTGAGCGTCAAGAGCCTGAATCGGAGCTTGTGTGTGTGTGTGTGTGTGTGTGTGTGTGACGGGGTGAATCTCACAAAGACTCATCTGGGTCACATTTCACCCTAAATCAAAGAAAGAAATATATAGTTTACATGAAACAAGATGATGTAATGGTATCATCAGATATTAAATAATAAGGCATTCTGGATTGTTGCTTACAGAAATACAGTAAACGCTCTCTTCTCCACAGATTGAGACTATCGGCGATGCGTACTGCGTGGCAGGCGGGCTCCACAGGAAGATTGACAGCCACGCTAAGCCAATCGCGCTCATGGCGCTGAAGATGATGGAGCTGTCGGAGGAAGTGCTGACGCCTGACGGGAAGCCAATCAAAGTGAGTTAGAGGTTTTGTTTGGAACTACTGTACTATTTTTTGCAGTATAGTGTGCAATTTTCTATTAAAATGCCTACTGCTACTTATTTGCGATATAATATTTGCAAAAATGTGCAGTGTAATGCCAGCTCACACTGGGTGGGATACTGTATCCCATAATGCAAATGCAAATGACTTGATCTTTCTTTTTGACTTTTTTCTTGACTGATTATATGATGAAACAGCCAAAATTTAGGCATTATATTGTATTAAAATAGTATTAAAATTGCAAATGTAAATATATAAAAAATATATATAAAAAGAATATATTAAGAAAATTGTAAAAATAAAATAAATTAATAAATTCATATTAAATAAATAATTATATTTAAAAAATCGAAAATAAATACATATTATATAAATATATGAAATTATATGTAAAATTTCTGATGACTGCACACCGCTTGCTAAATTAAACATAACGATGGGCGGTCATGTGATCAAAATGTAACAGAGCTGGTGTGGATTCAGGGATTTGAATCCCATTCAAACACAACCTGCAAGATGCGTTTGTCTGTAGCTTTTGTTCATCATGCGTTGATGGCGGAGCGGCGGTTTAATGTTGCTCGCAGCGAGACACTCGTGTGTGGGGTTGTGTTAAGGATCTTGTGTTTAACAGCTCCATCGACAGCACTGGACTCACCGTAGAGACGGAGTGAGAGCGTGGAACCTGGTTGCCATGGAGACGGCGGAACACTCCAAGTGCTTGCCGTTAATTGATTGTTAGATTGTTGCTGTTTTCTTCCATTTAGAGGGAGTCAACGAGCCAATCGCTGCGTCTGAGAGGCTCAGGCATGTGTATGTGTGTGTGTGTGTGTGTGTGTGTGTGTGTGTGTGTGTTCAGAAGTGTCTCTGAGCATGTTGTCAAGTCTGTATTGAAATGCCTGCAGCAATGATTGTTTGTTTAGTAAAACTGATGATTGTGGAATATGACTGCAAGTGAAATGTAAATTAAGTGTGTGTGTGTGTGTGTGTGTGTGTGTGTGTGTGTGTGTGTGTGTATAAAGAAAATTAACTGTTTAATTGTTTTATTAATTCACTGATTCCAAAAAGAAAACTAATATGTCTAAGTTAAACTATAATTGATTTTTTTTTTCTTTTA